ACCCGTTGACAGGTGGGACCAAACAGAGAACCACCAGTCCCAAAGTACAAACTAACAAACCGATGGGACCCATACGTCCATCGACACACCAAAAACCCACCTTCATAACGACCCTTTCACACCCAACAATGAGGAAACGGGATGCACCGACCTGGGCACCCAACGAAGATGGCATTGGACGCACCAAGTCGAGCATTGCCGACAAATGACAAACCGACACAACACACCCTGAGCACCCCCACCCATAGCTCCGAAGGAACAATACCTTTCATGGCCAACGACCATGGCATGGGACGCACTGCATTACCGACTAGCGACAAACCACAAAAATAAGCCCCGAGCTCCCATCAGCGGAGCTTACCATCCTAGATAAACCAAGACGAGCCCACCCATCTAGAGCGTGAACCCAGGGGCAGCCACCGCCTCGACTACATCCACCATCTGAGCATGCGCGGCCATGGAACACTCACAAGCTGGCCCGGGCGCATGCGCGTAACCGTCTCGCGCGAGCCAAGCACGCCCAAGTTGCCCTGCTTCATGGGTGTACCCGACTCACACGAACTGAACAACCCAGTAGTAAAACAATAAAACAATAAAACAATACCTGGCAAATCAACCTGTGGTTGAGTTGGTTATATGGACAGTGGTATCCCCAACCCATCAGGGTTCAAATCCTGGTGCTCGCATTATTCCTGAATTTATTTCAGAATTTCCGGCGATACGCTTTCAGTGGGAGGAGACGTTCCCGTCGACGACGAGGCGCCTACGGTGACTTCGTAAATCTCAAGATGATATGCCGGCTCAGTCTCTCGGAGGTGCTCATAAGGGTAGGGTGTGCGTGTGTGCGTTTATAGGAATGAGTGTATGCGCGTGTATATGATCGCTTGTGTCTGTACTGATGCTCAAAAAAAAACAATACCTCGCTTGCGCGAACCGAAAAAGCCCAATAGCAAATGAACGACGGTCACACGACCCAAGTGCACGCGCATACCCAGCTTGCACGAACTGAATCTCTACTCCTAATGGAGCAGTTGGTGAATAGTCCGCGCGATTTATTTTCGTTGGTTTATTTTCGTCATCCTTCCATCTCCGGTTTTTTTCGTCATCCTCCCACCCCACCCCATCCCACGCAGCCACCCAAAAAACCCGCGCCCAACAAAAAAAAGTTAATCGACCATATAAAAAATAAATCGCAATCAATCAAGTATTGATGATCAGATTAGTTACCATATAAAAAATAAATCGCAATCAATCAAATATTGATGGGATATTTCCTTATATTGATGGGATATTTCCTTATATTGATGTGATTTTCCCTTTCTTATCATCAATCATCTCTACTGCCTAAAAAAATGCGTAGCTTTCCTTTTCCTGCCAACCCATCAGATTAGTTACCATATAAAAAATAAATCGCAATCAATCAAGTATTGATGATCAGATTAGTTACTATATAAAAAATAAA